GTTTTATTGTCTTAAGGTATTGTTTTAAATTGCTTTGAAACTTTGTTTTGTTAATGCTCAATTGCTTGTTCAATTGTAATAATAAATTAAAAATACCCAAAAAACATCTAAAGGTCAACAGTTACATGATACATCAAGGCTAAATGTAGAACAGTATCAGTATCAAAATCGGTGACACTGACCCTGTTTTTGTTGGTATTTGATTGTCCACCACTCTTTACACAATTCAGTTCAATTCAGTTTATTTATATAGCACCAATTCACAACACATGTCATCTCAAGGCACTTTATTCGAATGCAATCCCTCACACTAAGCATGCTTGTAGCGACAGTGGAGAGGAAAAACTCCCTTTTAACAGGAAGAAACCTCCAGCAGAACCAGGCTCAGTGTGAGCGACCATCTGCCGAGGCCGACTGGGGTTCAAGGAGACAGAAGCAGAGATCTAAAAGGCGGCCCCATCCAGGAAACACATTTAATTATCTTTTGATAGACGTCTCTCCTTTCACGTCTGAAACCAAGTTCTTGTTTGGGAAAGAATACTTTTAACTCTAAATATGTTTTACACTGTGAATCATTTTGGGTTAACTGTTAAAGTTAACTTTACCTCCAATCTAAATGATCTGGGCAAAAAATATTTTAATGCGTTAATGCATTAAGTGCTATTCAATAAGAATCCAAGCACCCCAAGAGGTACCTGTACAGCCATTTGAGAATCAGTGTATGTGGGGTATACTGTGAGATGGGTGAATTATTGTTTAACAGGATGAAAAGGAGTATTCACCTGTCATGTTTGAATGAAGGACTGTCGGAGGTGAGAGGCTGTCTGGCTGTTCTGCTGATGGATTCTGTGGGAGTAAACATATAAATTCAGTGATCAATTTCACATTAAGATGTGTGAAACAAATATATATATTTTTTAACAAAAATCATAATACCAACTCTATATTAGGTGTCAACCAAGTAGGCAGATAATGGATTACCAGGGCAGAAATTAAAAACTAAAAATAATAAAATAACATATTTTCTCTTATAGAAACTAAACCTCATGGGAGTGCAGGACATTCTCATCTTCATTCAGCAGGTTTTCCTCATGTTGATTTTCACCTCCTGGGTTCTGCATTTTATCTGTAATCTATCAACGTCTATAACTCATCGAAGAACAACCTATAGTAAATACATTTAACTTTACTTTGTGAACAACTAATGTATTTGAATTGAACATGTCGTTTTGTAATCTCTTGATGTTTTTTTTTTTCTATATTCAAACTAATCAAACCACCATGAGTTCTTCTAACAACACTCATATTCTTAGTAAATATAAACGGTTAAACGGCTTTAAACGGTTAACTTCCAAACGATGTAAACCAATGGAAAGCAGTATTTTATGGCAAAAATTATAAACAAATATCGGAATTTATTTTTACCAAAACTTAACGAAGTTATAAGGAAGAAAATGACAGTTTTTTGTGTTTTCTCCAACCAGAAAACACCAACAAAATAGACACTTACCGCCTCCTCCACGTAGTGAACAAATCTACGCGGAGTGGTTGCCAGGCAACGCTAAACGTCCGCTCCAGGAAGAGGAAGCAGCTGTAACTTCCGGTGTGTAGTTTCGGCAATAGACATGCGATTTCGCCGACACGTGCAGTTATTAATAATAATAAAATAATAATAATAATAATAATAATAATAATAATAATAAAAACACGCAATAGAGCCGGTTATGCCTTAAAAATGCAATGAAGCTTGCTGCCATATAGTCAACTGCAAAAGATATATCAACACTTTCACGCATAGTGATGACATACACACAGGGAAGAAGACAAATCACCACAGCAATTTCTGTTTCTACCTTCTATAAAAAGACGCCATTGTAGGTTAAAAATAGAAAAAATACCTGAACTAACATCTAAGGTGATATATTATGTAAAGCTTTTCCAAAGTTTGATTTTATATTTGGAGGAAATTGAATATCAGAATCAGAATTTAATAATCCCAGAGGGAAATCAATTTTGTATATATATATATATATATATATATATATATATATATATATATATATATATATATATATATATATATATATATATGTATGTATAACTATATATCCAAATAAAGTGATAGTGACATGCAAAAACAGTGCAAGGAATAAATAAATGTCAATTACAGAGGGGCAGTGTCTGAATCACTTGAGGGAGGCCTGTCCACTCAGTTGGACATCATGCATCAACTTTAATGCAATGTCAAATACTGGCAAACATTGTTCTTGAAATTCATATACTATAACATTCTGGCTGTAATTTAACTTCCTTTTTTTTAAAGAAATGTGATTTTTTTTTTTTCTCTATATTTAACTTGGGAATTAAAGTTAGAGTACAAGTAGGATCCCCTGAGTACATGTACAACTTTGAACATGTATTAAAAAAAAGTATGTTTACAACTTTTGCATTTATAAATAGAGCTCAAATAGAGAGGCCTGAATGGAGTAGAGGAACCAGCGTTCCTGCAGAACACCTCTTTGAAACTTTAAAACTAAATTGCAACTATATCTATGCAACTTGGTTGGTTTATTGATGTTTTTACAGTATAAAATGAGCAAAGTACACTTGAGTGGACAGATAAATACTTCTTTATAGAATAAAGATAGAAATTTTTTTATTTTTGATACTTTGTTTTAAAAATGTATTTAAAAAAAACTTGAAGGACTTTATCATAATTCATGCATGAGATAGTTAATACAATTATTTTATACTTTATTTTTAAAAATGTTTTGTGTAAAAGATTAAACACGCAGACCTATAGGCCTAATACCACTAATTATTGCTAAGTCGTCATTACTGTTGAAATAGATATATCGTAGAGATGGAGATTAGGCTACTTGTTTCAGAAACTTGTCTTTACCACATCTAGATGCGTTAACTCATATAGGTCCATGTGTGGTGGACATATCACCATTTCCCTCCTAAATGCAAGCTTTTATAAAGGCTGATCAAGAATGAAATGTTCTTGAGCTTATGTAGGCCTAATAGTTGAATTGATGGTCATCATCATACTGATGACCATCAATTCTCCTTTTAGGCCTACATAAGCCTAATAAAACAGCGTCTTTAAATCAATATTTTCTCTTTTCAAATTTTTGAAGTACAGTTTGGAACTACTGTGGTGCAGTTTGTAGCCAATCAAATGAGACTTCCCCGGACTGCCAAAACAGAGCAAAACATGTATTTTTTGTTGGCAAAAGCAGCCACCTGCAAAAATCGAAGCCAGAGAGAGAAGCAGACCAGAACTCATCTCAATACCAAGAAGCCTTAACATCCTTGAAATCTATTTGCATAACTTACTGTTGCTGAATTACCTTCACTCATCTTGGGCCATGTATTGGGCCATGTGTCCCAATACTATAATGGTGACAAGCATGTGTAGGCCACCATGCACTTTGAAGTACATAAAATACCTCTTTTTGAAGCAAAAAAAAAAATAAAAAAAAAAATGAAGGATTTAGTTGAACTTTAAAAAGGATATAAAATAAATTGCCCCATGAGGACAAATTCAGAAGAAAAGTCAACAAAACATTGTGACATCAATTAATAGATTTATTTTGCTCTATAAATAAGGCAGATACATGTTGAATCAATTTTGGCCTTCTCAATATTGGCCATAAAATTACATGTACTTGTCAAAAGCAATTTATAACTCACAGATACAAATTACTTCTTTAATATTTCTGAAAAATCTTGTTTCATTCTCATAATACCACAAAATAGACAAAAAACCGAAGCCATAACCCACTTTAAGCATCTTCTAATGAATGTAAACTGGAATCAAGGCAAAAATGGAAAATAACCAACACAATAATTATCGTCACGGTGCTTTACCAAACTAAAATAAAACATAAAGTCCTGTAAACAAAGTTCATGCACAGTTGTAGCACACTCCCCAGTATGAGCCGATAACGCTTTATAATTTTTAGATCACATAAGAATCAGACCCCACAGGATTTTGGTTTAGAAATATTTCTTCAGTAATTAATCTGTAGCTACATTCCTTGAAAAACAAAAAACAAAGCTACGTTATTGAGAGTACCCTCTGTTCACAGAGTGTAGCAGGTAGTCTATTAAAAGCACACTTCAGGCTGATCAATAACGATCTCTCCCAATATCAACAGATGACACACAAAAAAAGATGCATCGTGTGCTACCTCATTAGCTATACGGATTATCAGTCACGTGTGGAAAAAGATATGCAAAGTGAGATAGTGTTTATCATTACAAAAAAAAAGAATAAAAAAAAAAATTGTGCAATTGTTTGCATAACCCAGCCTAACTTTGACTGGGAAGAAAGTTTTCTGCAAAGAAAAAACAAAAAAGGTTCCTGTAATACATTCAACAGAGTGTTAGAGGCATTGTACTCTTCAGACATAATTTTTCATATAGTCCCTATAGAGAATCAGATCTTGGCCCAAGAAGCACTTATTGTACATATTGTGCTTGTGTGTGGTCACTCATGTATAGAATTTATAAAATAGATCATACCATAACCACTTTACCCATTAACTATTACAATAGTTTAAGTATGGCATCAGTGGGATTAAAATAAAATCTAAAAATAAAAACAAAACGTTTTTGGCAGTTGTACAGGGTGCTCAGGTCTGGTCACAGCAAATAAATACTGTAAATTAATACCTGATGCCAAAAAAAGAAAAAAAGAAAAAATAAGGTTCAGGTGTCTTACAAAAACAACAGAACATCTGATATGTCCGGTGCTTAAAGGTCATTCTAATCTAAATGTGCTGCATTTCTAAAGGGAAGCTACAGTGGATCCTTTCGTCCACTATCAGCTAGCTAGTAAGGTATTTGGTGAATGCGTTCCTGTCTCTGCCTATAGGACATACTTAGAATAATCATAATCAGAGTTATTACCTTGAGAACAGGAATGAACAAAGAGCCAACCCCAACTCTCCTCCAAATAACTGTAACTCATCAATAGGTTCTTTACATCGAGGAGTACAAGTTAAAATAGCAGCAAGCAACAATATGCTATTAGTTTTTGACTTGGTCAACTTAACCTGGTTCCAAGAGAACCGCAGCATTTCTTTTCTAGAACGCTTGACAGTAACTTTCTAGGGGAATGTCTTTCTGTGACAACAGTGCCTGAAGACTTTGGCTTGAGTTTTTATTATTAAACCCCAGAAGCTTTAGGCAATACTGTAAACAATCTCCGAAGCTTAGGTTTGCTGTCCAGGTTGTGCTAAGATGGCTCTGTGTTCCCCGGAGGGCTGACTAAGGGTCCGCCAGCAGTGCGAGGGTCCATGGCAGAGTGCATGATGGTCAGCCACACGTCGTCCATGTTTGGCATTACAAGGATTTTCTAAAACAGGATAGACAATGACATACAAAGCTGAATTATCATCAATGCTTTGTGTTTCCTCTCAGATCTGACTCAGCTCACTCAGTGAAAGCACACACACACACACACACACACACAAACACACACACACACACAAACACACACACACACAAACACACACACACACAAACACACACACACACACACACAACTGTTACTTAACTGTGAAATGCAAAAAACAAGGCATAAAATAATTTACAGGCTAGCATTAAGTGCATAATTAGGAAGTTAATAATGTTCATAACTAAGATGCCCCAAATATAAAATCCAGTTCCACAGGATGCCTTAAGATTTTACTTAAATAGTAGCATCAGAGAGTGTTAGTTTTATCTCACACTAAATCAAACTGTTATGCAATAGCACAAGCGATAAGAAACCATTACCAAGGATATGAGGAACGAGGCCAAGGATAAAGATTTAGAGAAGTTGAAAGCTGAGTTAAGTTATTAAATAATATATCAAGGTTGAAAGATCTTAGAACTCTTCAGTCTGTGACCTAAAAACGAAAGTAGGAAACATCCCTTTCCACCCAGAGTGGTTGGGTAGAAAAGGAGCAGTAGCCAAGAGGTCCATGGTAACTGTGGAGGAGCTACAGAGATCAATGCTCAGAAGGAATACTCTGTTAGAACCATTGTTGTGTACTCCACAATGGGAGGAACTATATAAAAAGACTTCTGATTTTCTATATAGAAACATTTTAAAATCCTGCAAACTTCTCTTTCCACTTCACAGTTAACTACTTTATCAAAGTTTACATGTACTTTAAGAGCTATGTGTAAATTTTAAAGTTACTGCATACAATAATAGCAGGGCTGACATATTTAATCAGGGTTAATTAAATATTTAAATAATTGTCCACTGACTTAATTAATTATTATGTTGAATGGCATATAGAGAGTCTAAAAACATGCCCTTTGCTGAAAACAGCGCATTCAGAGCAATAATATAGCTACAAGCTCCCAACCAGTATGTGGTGCACTTGCTCGCTCTCTTTCTGTACTGTTAGTTATGGTTTCTGTTACCACTCCCACAGACTGCCACTTTGGGTCTCTGAGCAAGACCCTTCACACTGCTCCCCGGACGCCGCACAATGGCAGCCCACTGCTCCCCAAAGGGATGGGTTAAATGCAGAGAATTCATTTCGTTGCTCTGTACTTGTGACAGTGCAATGACAATAAAACTGAATTATTCTATTCTATTCTATAAGCCAGCCAGTTACCAGGTCTGCTTATACTTAAATTTCTGACAAATGTAACCTTTTAAAAGCTAATATTAAATTTACCTGAGTATTTACAATATTTACAATATAATTAATACATGTAATAATAGATTTTTTTGTTGGTTTTTAGTTCAAACAAACTTATTGAAATATGTCAATTTAGCATGAGCACCAATTTTCTATATTAATAAAAAAAACTCATCCTCATAATAAACAATAAAGTAATCAACAATAGTCGTCTTCGGTAATACCTGGAATTCCTGGTACAGTTTTTTCTCAATCCAGTCTGTAACATGAGCCAGAGTCACTTCTCTCTCCCCAAGTTTGGGTCGAGCCTTTAGTTCCAGGTGAGGTGGAGTCCTAAAGCCATACCTTAAGTAAAGAACATCCAGAATCATTTGCAAACATTTGAAAATGGGTACACTTGTTACCACCAGGGGTCAGACATGCATTACTAACTACATGGGGAAAAAAAAGAAAATTACTCTGAAACTGGAGTTTGTATAGTAGGGTGTAAGTTCTGCTTATTTAACAATAGACACCTTGACACTTGCTCATTTATGAATAAGAAATGTATCACTTGTGACTCATCACTTGTGACTTATCTGCGTCTGACACTAAGAGATAATGAACACGCTATTGGTAGTCATCCTAAAAACATTATTTTCGAACATAATTTATTTTCTGTCTAAAGGAAAGAAACTAATGCGATGAATAACAATTAACCGATCTGAACAAATGATTGGTGCTTGTGGAAAATTTCTTAATGATTAAGCAGCAATAAGATCTGACTGGCTTCACATACCAAATCCTGTCAGTGGGAGGAGGAGGAATGTTGACAGCCAGCGTTCCTCTGAGTTGCTGAACCTCCACAGTGAGCAGGAGGGGTGTGTTGGACACTTCCTCCATCTTCTTTTTGATAAACTCCGTCTCCGTGGCCTTCTGGAAGTATTTGGACTTGGCAATTTTGTCAACAAAGCGCATGATCTTGCTTGGCTTATGTCCGCCCACCAGACTGAAGCAAGAAACAATAATAGATTTGATTGAGATTTTAAATCAATGGGTTTCTTTTTTCAGTGAAAAAACAACCATCAGATAGTCCTTTCTAGAGGTTCTCTTCCTTGTTGAATTATGTTTTTGAAAAAATAGTTATATTACATAACCTGTAATTCTGAAAATTAAATGAGTAGAACAAGTTTGTTGACACGCTCAGTGGTACCTGTCAGCTCCAGTTGAATCATTTGAAAGGTCAGAAGAATCTTCCTCATCAGATGAACCTGCGCTTGATGACTCTTCATCACTAGCAGCTAGGCAGTAGGTACGAGGCCTGTACCTGGTAGCAAACAAAACCAACATTAACGGCTAAGACACACGCTTGTGTGCTTTTCTGGCTCCATCATGATGACCTATATCCTTTAACTGAATGTTGAGGTATTTGTATCGATGTTTACTCAAATCTACCCACTGAAAACCAATAAGTAAGCATAAGGTAGCCGTAACAATTTGCACTGCCCGGTTCTTCCAGTCCAGGTTCTAATACCTTTGTGACACAATACTAATGATTTTGGAGGGAATACAGGTGCCGTTTCTCAATATGTTTACTTGTGCGTTCTCATGTGCTCGTGAAACATCATCAGCCTCAGCACTAGTCCTGTTCCAATTCACAAGAACAAGATGACCGAGAATGGACAAAGTCCCTGGATGTTGTTCTCGCCCCTCCCTCTTTACCCAGCATGCATCAGAGCAGACTCGTCTGTTCTTGAGATTGACAGCTGTCCCAGCATGCACTGCGGCAGCAGCAGCTTTCAATAGAGCTCTCACAGAGCACTGGGCATTAAGTTAAAAGTTATCTTTTCTCTTGCCGTTCAAAAAAAGTACGTTTTAAGATCATTTGAGACAAGAACATTATACTTTTAAGCATCACTATATGGCTTATTTACTAATTTAAAGCGAAATTTATTAAAAAAATCTGCAAATTTGAGAGCACTGCGGAAAACCAGCAGAGCTCCGAGAGTGACGGCAGCCAGGTCTAATCCTAGCCCATCTGCAGCAGCCCTTTCTTGGCCTAGCCGCTGGCTCTGATGGAGAGTTTTTGTTCTATTTGGCAAAATGTTCATTTGATTCGTGTTTATCTGACTGTGTTAACTATTATTCCCCCAATAAATAAAAAAAGTAAGAATTTACTATTATATAGAGACAATAAAGTATTAATAACAGAAGGTAAAAGTCGAGCACGCTCCTGTTCCAATTGACCCATATTTATCCTGCGTGCTCCCGCTCTCCCAGAGTCCACACTTTCCTGGGTTCTTCTCAAGAACATACTTGGCGAGTACACGACTCCACACTCAAGTTTTTGTGACTTGAGAAACGGCCAGGGTTTCACTGAATTTGAACTGCAGGTAACTAGCTATTGCTGAGAAGTAATTTAACAGACAAATATTAGAGAATTTGTTGTTTTGACCATCAAAGTAATAATTATCGAACACATGAAGTTTTAGAAGGTGTTAGATAATCCAACAATTAGACTGACAGTTGTGCAGAACTCACCAAGGGAGGAAACATCCAATTACCAGCCGCAGAAAAAGACAAGAGTAGCAGGAAGGAGAAGAAAGATTAAACAAGGGATGAAAAACACAAAAGATTTTGAACACTTAGTAATAAGTTGAGAGGCAATGCTTTCCCAGAACGAGACGTATGTATCATTTAATGCAAACAAAGCAATTCTGAAATGTCTGTTATGACAGATTTCATCCATCTTACCCCTCTTTGCCAAATTCCCCCAAGCGGAGACTTTCTCCATCCTTTCCCAGACGATTGAGAATCATCTTGGTTTCCAGAGTCATCAGGAAGGAGCCATTGTAGGAGACCTCTAAGTCAAACCATAGACCTGAAAAATGTAAAGTCTACATTAGAAATATTTAAGAAGAACACCAATAAATATGATTACAGACGCAAGCTGTTTATTTAGTATATGTTAGACGCCTAAAACACCCTTCACACCTTCCACTAACATGTTACCATGGAGACGGGCTGAATACAGGTATAAATGAGCTCAAGACTGTATGGTTTCCCGATATCGCATTTAAAGTGGACTATAACTATTGCATATCTTCAGTAATGACACTGTCAAATCTATAGAGGCTCACTGTATATCTGAGTCCAAAGAATCTAGGCATTTTAAGTTCATTTAAAGTCACAGAGGGAAATGCAATATGATTTTTGTAACTGAAGAATTTTCTTTTGTCTTTCAAAATTAAAAAGTGCAAAAGTAGTAGTCTTTAAATCGCAAGTTAAGCAGCAGTCTTTGCCGCAAAGTGGCTGGATGAATACCCTGACATTGCTGACCTTAACACAATGATATAAACTTGAATTTATCTATATAAAAGTTAATCATGTTTTTTATTTCATTGTTTTTTTTTTATGTTGTTTTAATGTTATAACTGTTTTTTTTTTCCCAATTATATATTTTTTCTTTAAACTTTTCTGGTTAGTAGTGATACAGTTATTTATCCATTTTTTTTCTTTTTTTATGTATAAACCCTCCCATGCACATGTTTATTTGCTAAAAAGTGACCCAACTGATCCCACTTTGATGGATTTACAATGAAACAGTATTTTGGTCAATAATGCATTTTATCTTTTTAAAGACAAGATAAAAGCGTAAAAATCTTTTTCTCAACATGGAATACCTTCAAATGATATGCGGCCTTCAGTTTCTTTATGTGCGACTAAACTATGGCACATAAAGAAATAAGTTCAATTTATTAAACATTTGTTGAATAAAATTAATAAAAGCTATAACCTAGGAGCTCTTTGCACATATGCAGGCTAGTTTAAAGTTGTTGTTTTTTTTTATTAATATAATGGTTCAACTGCTATAGAAACAGGGCTTTCTTTGATGGTATGATGACCTAAATCAATTAAAAACACAAAAAGAAGAAAATACTTAAAAAAAAATTGTTAGATACTTATAAAAAAAATAAAAAAAACACAAATGCAATATGGCAACTGAAGTGTCCATTCCGTTTTCAGCACAATCCATTTTCAGCAGTTCTACTGCAGCTCCAAGGTTACGCATGCTCTTTTAGATTTGTCACTTTATTTTACAGGTCTTCATATTTTTGGACACTCCTAACCAGAACAATGCCAATGCAGTCCCATTTAGAAATAAAAATAAATACATTTCATTGTGATTGTGATGTGTTTGATGTTTTAAAAAGGTTTAAAGTAGCCAGCAATATCTTCTTATTCATTTAGGTAAAGGAGTTTATTCGGTACTTTTACTTTGTAAAGGTCTTTTTATTTTTTAACACAAGTGTGCGACTTTTACTTATGTAAAGAATGTGACTACATCTGACACCTCTGCCTAGGGGAATGAGGTATATCTCTCTCATTTAATTAGCCAAGTTCATTTGGCTTAAATCGTTGGTAAAGTATAGCACCTATTATACAGTATATTGTGCAGACTTTGGCAGCTCCAGTGACTAAAGCTAAATGAAATCACATGACAACATTTAACCAAATCTAACTTCCAATAAAATGTCCTCCAAATTCAGTTATTACACTGAACTCTAAGCTTATTCTATGGCTTGGCAGCAGCTGTCTGTGGAGGAGAGAAGGAGAAGAAACAAGGAATATTAAAGTAAGCAAAGAGAAAATAAATAGATGAAGCAATATCTCAGAACGGAAAGAAAAAGATAGGAAAGGGTAAAAGAAAACAGAGGTTAAAACGTATCATTAGCCTTGATTACACACAAAATTTCACAATCAGATTAAAACGTATTCTGGTTAAAACAAAACAAATAATAGCTTGATTACATAATCATTAGTAGTTGCAATAAAACGGTCACTCAGACTAAGTATGAGTCAGCCAATCTGAATATTCTGATAACAGCTAGCCAGATCGATTAGCCAGACAAGGAACAGATATGGCATGTTGATGCAGGGTGCATACATGCACTGAGGTCAGCGTGCCTCATTCAGACTTACTTTATCCTGTCAAACATTTGCACACATGCAGTTTGATTGTCAATCAGCATAAACCACACCTGATGAATCAGATCAAGATTTAGACAGAAATACATAAAGCACACATGTTTAGGACATTTATTTAGATTACTTTTGTCCATGTAAACATAGAGAGTGACTAAAATGGAAAGGAAAGCAAAACTAATAAGACTTTTAGTAATGATATTTTTTTTTTGGGCCTTATTTCCTAAAAGAAAAATATGTTTAATGACCCCCACCTCGCTCCCCTGAGAACATCCAGGGATAGGACATAAAACCTTGAAGAGTGTCAAATATCTAGGTGTTCACGTCAAGAATAAACTGGACTGGACTCATAACCCCAATGCCCTGTACAAGAGGTGCCAGAGCCCACTCCACCTCCTGGGGAGGATGAGGTCCTTTGGAATGAGCAGGCCCTGCTTAAAACCTCATTTGACTCTGTGGTGGCCTCCTCTACGCTGTCATCTGCTGGGCCCCAGGCAGCACAGGGCAGAACAGAATAAGCTGGTAAGAAGGGCCATTTCTGTCCTGGGCTGCAATCCGGACTCAGTGGAGGAATTATGGACAACACCTTTCACCCCATGCACCAGACTGTAGAGGAGCTAAGCAGCTCCTTTAGTGAAAGACTTTTACACCCTTTGTAAAAAAAAAAAAAAAGAGCACTACCACAGGTCATCCATCCCTGCTCTCATCAGACTCTACAATCCCATACTATAACGGCAATAACCTGTGCAATATCTAATGTACATTTACAATTTAATATCCTGTGCAATAACCCTGTATAATAATCCTGATAAATAAGGGAATATATATGTGGACAAAATGTATGTACCCCCTATGCACCATTTATTTATTTGTATTTTGTAATAAAACTACTGTCGCAGAGGGAAAAAAGTATATTATCATCATGTAAACATAATGAAGTTTTGACAAATGTTAAAATCCGAGCCACTGGGGTGAAAGTGGCGCCAGTGTACGGCAGCTTTACATCCGTCAGTGAGCCCCAGGACAGCGGTGGCTAAAATGTAGTTTGCCACCATCAGTGTGTGAGTGAATGAGTAAAAGACTGAATGCAGTGCAAAATGCTTTGGTCAAGTCTACCGAGTTGCAAATTTAAAAAATGCACATGAAGTAGAAAACGAAATACATGGACAAAACTTAGGTATTACTGATTTATCTCTCAAGTGCAGCTTGAGTAGAAACAGTCTATGGGCCAGTGGTTTAATGGATTTATCAGCAGGGTATGTTAAATTCTGCAAGGAGGGGTACGACTGTCTTCACAGTTTTGGGAAAGACGCTGTTTCTGGGTCTATTTTTTTCTGAAAAAAGATTCCTGAGCAGCCGCCTAAACGAGTCAAATGTCTAGTAGACTACACTTCCCAATCCCCTTGTGCCGTCTGTCCTTCCTCTCCTGTGCTCTGCAGCTCTCATGCCAGACAGCCACACTGAGACATAGGATGCTTTCAATTGTGGTTCCATGAAAGTTTGTGAAGCTGTGGACAGAGACAAGTCAATTTCAATCTCCTGGGAAGAAAGAATTGATATTGTTCTTCTCCCCCGGGTAGGTGTTCCTATTGCAGCAGAGGTCAGATGAAATGTGTCTGCCCAGAAACTTTATGCCGTCCACACACTCACCTCCCCATGTATGCAGAATGGAGTGTGTCAAGTCCTTCTGGACCTCCTTTAGTCCACTATGAGCTCTCTGGACTTGCAGGTGTTCAGTCAAAACTGTACTTGGAGCAACACTGTCAGATTGTGGGCCTGTTCTTTCTAGTGTCTTATCATTGTTAGATACAAACGTGACAACCATGTTTATTCTATCAATAGCAAAAAAGTGTGTGAGAATAAGCTGCAAAGGGCAGGGCTGAGACCGCAACCTTGTGGTGTGGCAGTGGTTAAGATGAGTGGGGCAGATACAAGATTTTCTATTCTCACCTCCTAGGATGTGGTGGTGAGGAAGTCACTGATCCAGCTAAATATATCGACGTTGATACCCGATGGTGGAGGTCACTTGTTGTGGCTGCAGGGTGAGCGGAGGATCTTTTAGTCCCTCTATGGCTTAAAAGACAAAGTGCTCCTTTCCTTCCCTAGTGGAGCTGTACCATATAGCCTAGTATACCTTACGCCCCAGAAATGTGAATTTAAACTGTGACGATGTCCGAACATTTGACAGGCTGAATTTTTCTCACAGTATCACAAGATTATGTCAGTTTCTTGGAGCCTTTTATTGACAAAAAAAAAAAAAAGTGTACAGTGCTAAGGTACAGTATGAGGCGCCCTATAAATGTTTATAGTTCCTGTTTCTTCCACTTGATGGCAGCAAACTCTGAATTTAAATTCCAGAAAAAGCAAAAAAGACATATACATGGCTGTTTCATAACTTTATGCATCATAAATAAGGCAATTTAATTAGATGTCACAGCTAACAATAGCTTGAAGACTGGGTAATTTAACTGGATAAAGTTAAACAGCCAAGGCATATTTTTATATGCAAAATGAAAGATCATACCTACAACTACAACATCAAAATTATGGATTCCTCAAAAACTATACATGTACAGAACATCTAATCGGTGCAGATCAAAATTGTTAGTTACACTGAAAATGTATATAATATTTAGATAATTGTTCTATAAGTTTCTCATTCAAGCTACAACAGGCAATGCATAAAAATAGTAGCTCAGTGATTAAGCTGAGAAACTTCTTCAAGCTTCTGAGCATTGCTGCCAACTTAAGGAAACAAATGTGCACCAAGGTCACACAGAGGTTGCTGCTTTCATTCTGAACAAGCAAGTTAAATGGAATAAGACCACTTACTGGTTATGAGGGCTTAAACCTATAGCTACTTAAAATAGATGAAATGCAGGATTAATACATTTATTGTAAATTAATACACCTTAAGTAGCTTATAACCAAAAATAAATAAACTTTTCTGTGGCAATGACGTCAACTGGGGTGAGCCATATAATAGCAGTCAGAGGTGAGTACAGCGCAAAGAGGAAAGGAAAGTTAAAAGGAAAAAAAAAATCAAAGCCTGAAGTAAACTCAAATTAGAACTGGCAAAGCAGTGTGTATAAAAAGAAAAAGAAAGTCCTTAAAGCAGTCAGGCAGGATGAACAAGTAGGTTCTGCACAGACCGCTGAGTCTTGTCTGACTATCAGGTTAGAGGGGGAGGGTTGCATGGCACAAAGACCAACTTGCTGCACCAAGGGCGTTCTCTTACCTGGTTCTGGAAAGAAACTCTACTAAAAATATGCGCTCAGATGAGAAAATAATTAAAGAAAAAAAAGGAAGAAAAAAAAAAACACAAAACTTATAAAATAAGACACTACGTCATGTTGAGAGAGGAGAGGTTTTACAAGGGGTGCGGTTCAATATGTAGATCGAGTTAAAAGAAAAAAACTGATGAGAAAGAGAAATGATCACAAGGTTCATTGATCCACTGTAATCAGTGATCTTGTTCCAGGAATGAGCTTACAAGAAAAACAAAAGACCAACATAAGATGTGCTGAGAAAAGAAGCACTTCTGCCATTTTGATTTATTTTAAACATAACAGATTTGTTTTGTTTGAGGATTTTGCAGCTCATGCGAACTGATTGTTAAACTGAAGGTTCAACTGCAGAAAGAGACATTCACGAGGATGAGTATCAAAAAGCCTTTAGTGAGCTTCATTCAAATGTGTAAAGAGTCATTTTTTAGAAGTAGAAATGGACACTCTGTAGGTGGTGTCTGAGAAACGGTCTCAAAATGATCCAAGCATTATGACTAATTTTTATCTGGTATTTCAAGTCAAACTGTTTTTGTAAATAAGTAAAAGCTTTTGCTATCTGGGTAGGGATGCAATCAACTCCTGCTCTCATTAAAGGGTTATATGAGAGCTATGGTGATAAAAATGAGGCAGTGACTCATGGCGCCGAGTAGAAGAGTGAAAACTGAGATGTGAGGAGAGAATATTCACATAAAGAGGATGAAAAGAAAAGCCACAGCAGAGGGAAAAACAGGGAAGACAACAGCCAATGTAAAGGCAATTAAGGGTCAGACTGTATAATGATGACAAAAAGGATGCAAAGCTAGGCTCCACATCTGAATGCTCCATTAACTACTAAATGTGATGCACTGCATTTTACAAGGTTTGCAACCATATTAAACAAAACTAATCATCAACATTTGTACCATTTTAGAAAAAATCCAAGCCCCAAATTAGCTCTACATGGTGGGTTAATGTCAACTTATGATGCAGACATCCAGCCTGGTTATACGCTAAAGGCTAATCTATGCTGCACCCTAAAAGCACTCCCTATGTAACATTTCTGAAATCAATCACAGCATCACTTTCAACATCCTTACTGCAGCCTTTGCAGCCATATGAAGTTTCTAATACTTTGTTTAATGCTGCCCTTTGCGAGCGTTCTGTTGGTCAGTGATTATGTAATGGCAATCTTAGATCGGACAAACGGTTGTACTTTTAACACAAATAAGAACCATGACACTCTGACCCGATGGCCTGATAAACTCAGAGGGAGTTTCAAAACTTGTTTTGCTCGACTGGTATGTACTAAATATTGACTGTTTTAAAAGTGAGACTCAATGCCTGTCTCTGACAACTGACTGTTGAGGTGTTGTTAGCTCTCCATTAATATGTTCCTTTTCTAAGAAATAATTTATTTTAGTGACAAAAATGTGTGTTTATCAGCTTGATTTGCTGAAGCTACTTTTTTATAAATTAATTGTGTTTCTGGGGGAGTCTTTAGGTTATTTTTCTTTTATCCATATCAGTTTTAAGTTTGCTTTTCTCATAGTTTGTTATGATGTAGCTCTGATGAAACCTGACAGCCAAGTCAAATCTCAGGTTTGTGCACACAGACTTCAGGTTGATTCTAAATCACATCGGCTCCAGTTCTGTCAAGGAGACCACAGCTTCCTGTTGCTTACTGTAAAAATAATCATTCTCTCTGCAAATTATGTAAAGTTATAATATGTGCTCTAAATAGGATAATTCATCAGATCAAAAGTACCTTTTGAACACACTTTTCCATTAAAAATGTTTATTGATCTGATGGATTATCGTGGAAAATAATTATAATTAGGAGAATTAAAGCTTGAAAACATTCTTCTGTGTACAATCCATGTGTTTCAATCAGTGAAAAACTAAATTAAATTTTCAATAATGTTCTAGTACACGAAGGGACACCCATGCAGGGATAAAATAATGTTTTAATTCTGGCATGCTGCAGTGGATCACTGCTCTAATGGCATGATTTCAGAGTGAAACCTAACTCTGTGATACACTCTGCTAAATCTGACATCTTGATAAGTTAAACAGACAAACCCATCAAGTCAGCAGCTGAATGAGGGGGGAGTGCCTCTGCAGTTTTCCTTTGCCAAATGTTGAACTATTTCAACATTTGATACCAATAAGAATGGGACCAACTGATTTGTAAATATACCATCAACAATAAGCCTTTCTTGTGAAGTTGGTGAAGCTACATTTTAACTTGGATTGGACTAGTATGAATATCCTTGCCCCACTGTCAGTGTTCTGCTTATGCCTAGTTGAGTACATCTGAGAAAACACTTTAGCTTTAGATCAATAAGTAAAAAAGGTTCTTTCAAAAGCACAGCCACCAAATTCAGCTTTAAATTGATAAAAATGAAGAACAAAAATCTATGCATCTCAGATGCATAGATTTTTGTTGTGTTGTGTTGTGTGTGTCTCTTGCCTCGACAGTCAACATAAGGTGCAGATGCTTGATGGATTCTGGGGGTGCTTGTCCCCATGTCCAGTTCTGTCAGGGTGAGCTCATTCATAAAGTAAGGCAGCTGAAAGAGACACAAGCACACAGCCAGTCTGAGGAAATAGTCACTTAGAGGCACCAACTGATTTTTAAAGTACAACTAGATTTAAAAAGTATAAAGAGTGGACGCGAGAGATACTGCTCAGCCAACAAACAGAACAGCAAAAGAATTTCACTGCATGACTGCACTCAGCTTAATAGTTGGAAACATAATTCATTAAGGTATTTTACATTGGTCCAACTGCATGTATTTAGCCATCCGCCTGTGCTGTAGAGAACTAGCTTGGTTCAAAATGGGCATTAAAATGTGAAGAAAGGGTTTTCTTGTTATTCAAGAACAAAGGCCTGGAATTGGTCGTTACACTCACTCGAATCTTGCTGAGCTTCATCTGAATTTTCTTGGAGACTTCTTCAACCCAGTAGGGCTCGGTCAGGAAGTCCCAGAAGAGCCTGCCGAGAGCCGCGTTCACCCAGGCAACAGACTCCTCCTCCTCTCCCCTGGGCTGCGCCTGAGCTGTAGTGCTGTTCTGAAGCTAAACGTAGAGTTTCCATCAACAGCAGTTTAAAAGGTTAAATATGATGCATTCAATTATACTTTTAGCTCATACGGGCACACATCCAGATGAAGTGATCAGTTTATAGCTTCAGAAAGACAGAATGTTCCCATATTATAAACCGTAAAGTTATTCTACCTTTTTATCAGCTCCAGGGGTGCTCTGCAGACTCTGAGAAGAGCTGGAAGATGGGAGACCAACCGCTTGATTTTTTGGCATTACGGAGGCCATGTACACACTATAGTCTAATGGCAGCTTGTTTTTGGCACTGCCTGCTGTCATCAAGGAGGTCGTTGAGTCTCTTGATTTGAGCGGTGGTGCCAGGACTTCATCAAGACTACTGCGGCTGCTGCTGCGGCTGTGAGAGGCTGTGGCAAAGGAAAACTCCCATTTTTATTTAATCTTACATTGATCTCAATTTAAACTGGTATAAACCCATAAATATAGGACAGTGTTTCAAGAAATCTATCATCTACCTTTTTTACTGGTTCCAAAACAGGGAACTTGCTTCAGATCAGCTCTGACATTAGAGGCTGACAGAAACCGCTGGAACCATTCCTCCTTCTCCCTCCCAGTCCGCCCAAACAAGAAGATGGTCCGGTCTCTTCTGGTCACAGAGGACCGTCGGTCCTGTGCCGCACTGGTTCTTTCACCATTAAGCTCAGAAGTCGACGACTCACTGGCTTCAGACCTTTCATCTTCTGCCTTTGACATGAAGTCATCTTGTCTGCCAAGTTCGATGCAGATTGGGTACTTTTTGTTCCACACTCTCTTCCTGGCAAGATTTTGAGGCACTAAATAGACCTGATAAAAGATTGTGGGTAAAATAGACTTGTCAAGTAAAAATTTATTTCCTTTTTCAAGCAGTAGAATATTTTTTGTGTGACTAATGGTGATAAGTATCTTTTTTTGCAGGTTCTTTTCAGTGCTGCTTTAGATTATGTTTTGATAAATATGGCAAAACAGTAGTGCGAGAGCATACCTTGCTATTGCTGAGGTCATAAATCTTCTGACTGACAAAGCTCATGTCAGACTTTGGTTCGTTGTGTGAGGCACGGCGGGCGATGTTGTGGTTGGGTTTGGAAAGACGAATGATGGAACCCTCCAGGCGGACGAACACAGAGTGAGTCAGTGTGGCGTGGTAAGTTTCTGGGTCATAGTTTGAGATCTCATTCATCCAGCCCTGAGAGAAAAAAACATATGACTTTCACCTAAATAAGGCCCCACTCCACCATATTGGTGCTGAAATCTGAAAATTCAAAAGAATTTTTTTACTTCAACTGTCCTCAACAAAAGGGGGATTATTGGGACGTATTATTGGGACATTGCGTACATTTCTTATTTTAAAAGATATTTTTAAATAACCTTTAAAAAAATAAAATGATCATCTGTTGCCTTACAACATTAAAACAAGGTATAAAAGCAGCAATAGCTACAGTCATAAAACTTTTTCTAAATTATAGTCATAAAAAATGGGACCAAAAAAAATGTTTTAGACAGAAAATTTAAAGAAAAGCCATTTATATATATTCATGTTGCATTTCAAGATAAACTGTGGTAAATAAGAATAGTTTATGTATTAAAAACCATCTAAAAAACAAACCTCTTCTGAATATTTGACATCAAATATGCAAAACAAAGAGTAAAGCTGACTGACCTTATAGGACTCAGGCTCTTTAACATCCATCTTGGTGACATTCCACAGCTCTCTGTGATTTCTGGAATATTTCACATCCCCTCCAGAGCGTTTTGGCCCCGTGAGCCAAACAATACCGATGGCTAGAAAGAACCCGAGTCCAATCCCAAGTAGTACTCCCCCCACGTAGCTTGGAAGTGGTAAAACAAAGCATGTATAAAGTAGAAACGTCAGGACGGCGAGAGTATAGTGTGGGACATCAGGTGCTGACTCAAAACCTTCATATTCATCATCACAGCTTGGGTCTGAACAACTACTTAGTGGTAGGGTGTTATTGGATCCTTCAATACCTTCACCCTCTGTGTCAGTGCAAGATTCAAAGTCCTCATTGTTCAAAATGCAAAAGTCTTCCTCGTCCAATTTAGCGAGGGCAGACATGGAAAGTAAGGATAGATTGTTGGGGCTTTTAGTGTTGGAACAGGGGCCAGCTGGTGATTCGGCTCCAACCGCGGTCCAGCTGTTGGGGCTTTCTGCCTCACCTTCACCCCCTTCTTCTTTGATGCAGTAGTTGTTGTTGCTCTCCTGGTTACCATTCAGAGAAGTGAGCGTAGAGAGTTCTGTGGCACTGGATGAGAGCCCCTTAGGCCGATAAATGCTGCTAGCGCTCTTCTCATCTATGATCTTACTGAGAAGCTGCAATGGTTCAGAAATAGCTTCAGTGAGACGCCGCTTGGTATCCTCAAATCGTGCTTCGACCTCAGAGACTTTAAAGAAACTTCGGTTCTCTTGCGAAGTCAACGGTGAGGAGGGGGCAGTTTTAGAATCGCTAATTGATGCCATGGAAGCAGACTGCATTCTTGATTGTGCAAATTGCTTTAAGACTTGCAGGTTAAGGCGAGACTCTGGAAGACGGTAGGATGATGAAGAAGAGGATGAGTCCTGGGATGTATCTGATGACAAGGATTTGACGAGACTTTTCATAAGTTGCCTATGTCTTATGGTCGGAGCAGAGGAGGCGCCATCATCTGGGGGTAGTGCCTTTACCAAACCTAATGTGGAGGGAAAGCTCAGAGATTTTATGGGAGAAGAGTTGGCAGTTGAGGCCTTGTGTTCAGGAACAGTTGAAGAAAGGGTTTGTGGTGAACGGTTAGTGTGATTACTTGAACTGGGCGAAAACCTGGTAGGAGATGCAGAGTCAAGGGGTTCCCCTTCAAACATTTCCTCACTCGCTTCCAGAGCAGTCACAATATTTGAGCCGTCCAGAGGAGCTGGGGCTGTAGAGGAGGCTGTAATAAACAGACCTTCTTCCTCTTCATCTTCTTCCTTCCCGAAAGCTGAGAAGTGGATGGTAATGGCCTCCTTTGATGGCGATTGCTGGACATGGAGCTTAGGAGCCACAGTAGCTGGCTTTTTATCTGGGGATCTCTCTCCATGGCTGGGATACTGGCTGGTCATTTCACTACTCCCACAGGGTCAGTCTGTAAAACAAAAAAACATTTTAACCTCAATAAGTGGTGAAATGTTTGTAAAGATAATCAAAAGAAAAGTTGACATATTTTAATGAATCTTAGTACTTGTCACTGGTTGCTATAACCAAAATCATGAACCTACTTACTACTTTTCTGTGATTATAAGACAAATTAGGTTGTAAACCTTTTCTATCCACTATAATGATAGTTATATAGAGCACATGTATCCTCACAATCACATGAACTTAAATGGGATTGTGCAACATTACTCAACAATTAAACTGCTGTATATGTGAGGAAGCATTTGAACACCCTGCTATTTTGCAAGTTCTCCAACTTAAAAGGGATCAGAAGGGGTCTGAAATGGTCATTGTAAGAAGTAATTTTCACCTCTAACTCTACTGCTTGCGTTCTTTCATTGAACCTTGGTGTTCTTAAGCTATAGTTTTAAAGACAATGCAGGGATCTAAGCTTAACTCTGTGTGAAACAGACCTGATTTGGGGAAAACATTTCTTGCCTTTATAACAAAGAGTCTGGATTGGATGGGTTCAGGTTTTCAGCTTCTTCAAAAGCAGCTCAGCTGTAGATTCGCCCTGTTTTCACTGGTTCCCTATGACTCATGTGATAAAATTGTAAAATTTTCCAATTGACCTTTAAATACCTTAGTGGACTTTCACTTCTGTTTCTGTAATGACCTACCTCAGCCTTATATCCCCTATAAGATACTTAAATCTTTAGATCTGCAATTTTTGTTACCGTAGTCCCAAAAGAAGGAAAAAGGATAAAACATACTGCTGATCAGGCTTTTTCAGTCATGGTTTTACACCACTACAATACTCTCCCTTCCACTGCTAGACAAGCCTTCACAGCTTCAGTTGTTAAGTCCTGTAAAATAACATGTTTTCTTTAACATTCAACTCAAAGTGAGTTGTTGCTAATACTATGTTGCTCAGTGTTTTCTATTTATAAGATATTTTTATTATATTTATTTTATCTTACTGTTCTTATTTTGTTCAGTATTATGGTAGCAATCTGTTATTTTTAAGTATGCTTTATTAAAAAAAATAAAACATAAGAAAATTTAAAAAAAAATTTAAATTTAAAATATAGTATCATTGTAAAAAATGCAAAAAGGAAAAAAAAGAAAAAAAGGATCTAATTCTTGTCTAGAATTGTGCATCTTTGATCTTTGGCACAATTGTCAGGTGAACCACAAAAAGTATAACCCTAGAGAACAATGTCTTATTTAATCCATTTAAATTCCTTCATCAATGTTTAAGTACACCGATTTTTACCAAAAATATCAATCAACAAAATGCTGACAACAGCACAAAATGATGGTGCAATGAGGGGGCAAGAAAAACACTCCTATAATTTACATAATTACAGCAAATACATACTCTGTCAGACCTGTAGAGGTGATAACAGCATAGACATTCAAAGGAAAAAGGCAGAGCTGTTGCTCTAGAAGTTTGAGACGGTTAGTATTCAAATATTCCTATTCATTGCAGTACAGCAGTGCCAGGAGAGCATGATTCATCTTTACAGAAAGTGAACTTTCACTTAAAAAAAAAAGAAATCACAAACATTTACAGAAATTCCTTTCTTCTATCCATTCAAATGTTTTTGTTTAGGTTAAATGTGTGTAGCATTCCCTTTTGTTTCCAATTATTTTATCTTTTTTAATATAATTTACTTTTTTTCCTTTTTATCCTCTTAAATTACTTGTGTTGCCTTTACACCACTGCAGGGTACTTTGCCTTTTCTTCTCATGTAAAGCACTTTAAATTGTCATGCAGCATTTCAGATAGACAATGTTCATATGTCTATATTAACAAAATAATGATATCTACGTCTAAATAAAAGAAATCCAGAAAAAAACACTGCAGGGTGATGTATATGGGGACTACGGCGGTGAGAGGTGATTCTCAGAGAATTTCTGCTTTTCATAAAGAGGTGAGATACGCAGCACTTACCTGTTCTGTCTTCCCCTGGTTATTTTGTTTTTGCCGGGCTCAAAGAGGATCACTATTTTACTATATCTGAAATCTTATCGTGGGTAAAGTATTATTTCTCTTAATGTTTCATTCATTGTTTTCGCACGAGTCTGTCCCACTTACTAAGCACGCTATGTTCGACCAAAGCTGACTCTTCCCCTCTGCAATAAAAATATTTCATTTTGTATTTTCCCCCAAAGTTGATGTGTTTTACTTTGTAAAAGGCGTCTCTCTTCCTGTCAGACACATGAAATTGCAGCTCAGCAGGAGCGACGCAAGCCCCCTTGTCTAAAATTGTGTTGGTGTGATCATCCCCATTGACTTTCAATGAGCACTAAATGCCACAATCATGTCCGACACAGTTTTCTGTCGGATCAGACACAAAATCGTTGGATTCAGAGCGTTTTGGCTTTAAGTTGTATTTGTCCCAAAAAAAAAAAAAAATAAGACAAAAACCCGAACTTTCTCAACAACAGAAAAACAAAAATGACAATAAAAAACTCTGTTCAAACTTTTGGCTCTATTTTGATGACTGTAAAACATAAAACTTATATCATGCTGACATCTGGCACTCATGTGCTCATATTTTATCTTAGCAGAGGAGGCAGCAGAAGGTCACATTGGCTCACTCATTTACAGATTTCACTTTACCCACAACTCCTCACATGGGTCATGAGTGAGCTTATTACCCAGTCACCACCCACCTCTTTCCCCATTAGTCAGCTTCTGATGCACAGCAGCACAATGAGCCATTGTATTAGGCACTTAGAAGTGGATAGAATGTAAACACAAGAAATAAAAGGTTTGTGATGGACGCTGGACTTGTTTTGGTGTCATCTTCAAAATAAAGCAGAACTCGACAAGACAGAACAGGGCAGCTGAAACTAAGTAAAACTTTCCTGAATGGATAGTATTTTCCCTAAATTTAAGTGAGTTACACATGATTCAAATATTTGATAAACTATAAAATTGTGAAATGCTCAATTAAATAATTAAAATGTTCCATTAAATATAAAAACATGCACAATGATCAATTACACAGTTATTGAATTAAATACGTTTTAAATGAAATAACTAGATCACTATTTATGTATAAATACATTTTAAGTATTTATATATGTATATATTTTTAGGTGGTTGCAAACTAAAATGGTTGTGAACCTCTGCACTAGATGATTATAACTAGTGTTGCACCGATACCAGTATCGGAGGGGGCCCCGATCCAGCACTGAAATGGTGGTATCTGTATCGACGAGTACCGACAAATAGGGCACCAATACCATTTTGAGAGACAAGTCCTTTAACGATTGTCACCCATTCCAGGTGGGTAATAAAAAGTTCTACTGGATTTACTTTGTAGAAGTCTTTTTCCTGCTTTACAAAGGTAGGCAGCAGCTTGACAAAGCCATGATGGCAATTATTTTACATCCAAGTAGTATGCAGTTCTTCTTATACACACACACACACACACACACACACACACATCAACTTCAAACAGATGGTATCGTATTGGCCAATACTGCATAGCCAGGATCGGTATCGGGGACAAAAAATGTCATTGGAGCAACACTAATTATAACTAGGTTCAGGTAATAAATCAAAAGTCTTGATTGGAGAAAGAGACGGGAGTATTGGCTAAATGTTGGTCACATCCAGACACATTATAAATAGCTTGAGTGTGAAAATACCAAGGCAGTGTGTGAATTCTACAACAAACCTGTTGTATGGGCTATTCAATTCTCATAGCCAATCATTTGTAGTTTGACAATGCGATAAATTCAAATCTAGGGAATCCAGTGAATGATAGGACAAGAAGGAACATATCATACAAGGAAAAACTAGGAGAAAAATCAGAAAATGTAAAAGTGTACATAAACCTCTTCTTAATACCCAAATAATTTGTCTTTCTTCTAACATAAAGTTTAAAAACTGTTGACTTCACAAAAAAAAAACCTCTGCTCACAATGACATAACTCTTTGTCCCAATCTGAGATCACTTCCTGCATGACTGCACCACTTAATAGTCACATTTTTTAGATCGTTTGGATCTGGGACAAAAGGGAAATCAAGAAATGGGCCATCATGTCTTACCATGTGCCACTGCGCCACCCCCTCACCCCTCTTACAACACAGTAGCATTTGCTCTTGAGACATGAAATTATTACAAGTATTTAGGAAACTGGTTCTGTTTTTTTATACACACTTTAACAAGATGGCAACACCGACTACATAATCATTTCCAACCACAACCGTGGAGAAATGAGACCACCCCTGCCCCAAACACTTAAGGTATCTACAGACTAACATATTGGTCAAGTTTGAGCATATTTAAAGCATTAAGATAGGGCAAGCCACTTAATTTTTAAATCTAGGGACATCCCTTTCAGGCATGTCCAAAATTGGTCCTTGAGGGCCGCTGCAGGTTTTAGTGGTTTCCCTGCTTCAGCACAGCTAATTCTGATGATTGTAGTTCAGCAAAAAGCCTGTTAATCATCTAGCAATGAAAATCAGCTGTTCTGGAGCAGGGAGATCTCTAAAACTTGCAGTACAGTAGCCCTCGAGGACTGGCTTTGGACATGCCGGGTAGTACTGCATTGAAGAGCGCTAGCAGCATTTATGAAAAAATAAGCAATTTTTTATCTTATTGAGTAAGCTCATATTTTATATAATTATAGTGCGGAGACAGCAGCATTAAGACTATTCCTGCAGAGGCTATCCTAAATAATCATGGCCTGAGAATGAAAACAGCTGCAGGAAGTTTACACTACAATTAACATTGCAATTACACACAGAGATGAATAGTGGGCACCTCCTATAATCAAACAAATCATCAGAGATATTTTGCCCTTTAAAAAAGGCATGGTCACATTATATACCTATACAAAGAAAAATCCCAAAACTATTCTGTTATGGTAAAAAAAGCTTACATACACCAAGTGTCTGTCCTAATAGTGTTTTGTCATACCAGAAAACTAGATGGTCACAAGTGAGACAGCTACTTAAGAGAGCCCATCTGTCTTAGTAAAGCACTAGAATTACTGTTTATTAAATAGACTGATCTACAGCACCTCTAAGGTCTAATGAATCATCCCAAAGTCTCCTATCAGAACATCAAGAATAAAGCAAACCCCTGTTCCTACTAAACAAAGACTCAGCATCAAGGGATGAAATCTTTAAATTATAAAGTAAAAACAAAATGTCATGAGCTAAAAGAGTTTCATTAGGATAAATGCAAATTAAATGATAGTAACAGTAAATGAATTGTTGATGAGCCCTGAATTTCTTTAGTCTTCTAGGTTTTAGCAGCCTAGCAGGTTTAGCAACCTGCTGCCCTCTCACCCCCACTCTGATAATTACAATCGAGTAATCCATCTATGTTGTTTGGATTTATACTGTGTAGAGAATAAACATAGCTTTGCCATCAATAGTATCAGTGTTTTTGAGGATGTTTGCTTACACATCTATCAACTCGTATTCTGGCACTTTTCCAAACTTATCCTTCAAGGAACTAACTTTTTTTTTTCTTTTGCATCTTTTTCACATTTGATTTTGGGACTTTTCATTATGTTCACACCTTCAGTGGGAGGTACCAACTGGCTTAGCCTATTACTTCCTTGTTGATCTCCTTGTCAACATGTCCCGTACCGTACCTCCAGTCAGGTGATGTAATTGTAAATAAACATGAGGGACTTTATTTCTTAACAAACTGAACAGAAATAAAGTTATAAACATAAAATAAATAATATCCCAACAAGACGCTAATCTTTAAGAAATACTTTGCATGCAACCAGAGTGCTCTACTTGTGTATAAACTTCAAAAATGCCCAAAATGAATGGCACCTATACTTCTTAATAACAGCTAAACTGAAAAAGCCATATGGGTACTCG